AATTCGAGATTCAACCAGTGTTTCTTCGTGGGAATGCCCCTACCCAAATATACTTAGACTCGTGTCCCTCCCCCCCCCCCTCCACGGAAAATATAGTCCGAATTTTCAAGCACCCCCCCTACCTCCCTTCCCCCCCCCCCCCCCCCCCCCCATATGCTGAAAAAAAGTTCTGAAAGAAACACAGGACTAAACATACCTATACCTATCGTGACAGAAACTTTGTGGTTGATAAACACACGCGAAAATCAATTTTTTTCCATTAGTTGTCTTGTAAAGTAGACGATGTTACGGATGAAATTTGTTGGGATGATATCGTTTGAGAAAAATTGGTCAAGAAATATTTTCTTAGAAATAAAGTGTTCGGAATATTTTGTTGGCGTCTGCAATTTTCCTTTCTAAAATAATGTGTCCTTAACCAACCATTCAAAATATGTTGGTCCACTTTTTTTTTTTCACTAAAAGGGTGTAACTAAAAATGTAAACACCAAAATAATTTGGTCCACAATTTTTTTTCTTTAAGTTTAGAACCAAGTCCTCTTCTTTGTATAAGTTACGGAGACGCTCAGGATGCTGATTCAATTAAGGTAGCATGGCATTTTTTTTGTCTTGTATAAATTTCCATTCAAACAGTTTAGAAATACAAAGAACACCGAATGTTAAAAAAAAGGAGTCAAGAGATGCGAAAAAATAAAAAAAATAAAAAAAAAGATGAAAATTTCAGAAAAAAAATCTAGGAAGAAATTGACAACAATTTGTGAATATTGGGCTTTTTAAATTTAGGGGTGTGTTCCTTGTTACTGGATCAGCGTGGGGTTATTCCACGTGATTACATTATTTTGTTTACTGTGGGAGGCTATTAACCAGAAGGGTATGGAGCAGGGGTCGGCAACCTTTTGATACGCAAGAGCCAAAAGTTACTATTTACAAAATTTCCCAGCTTTTAAAGAGCCACAACATTTTTATTTCAATATTTTGGTATTTTATTAGGATTGAGTAAAGAAATTTGATTTATTATTTAAAATAAATAGCTTTAAATATGATATAATATTTATTCATATAAAAACATAGACATGTTTCGCCAGAATAGTAAAATTAGTAATCAAATAATATGATTCTAGGACTATCTCAATCCACTTTAGAAGCTGTTAATTTCTATTTTATTTTTTTCTTTACGGATATCACCTGCTCAGGAGGTGTCTCTCATTAACTAGGCAGGCCTCAACACGGCAAATGCTGACAAACTGGCTTGGATATCGGTTTGAATATCTTGCATCGTACGCTTCTGTCCTTTGGTTCTCACAAGGCTTATCTTCCATCCCACTGAACGCAGGGTAAAGTCGTACCCCATCGTCCAGTAAAATGAATTTATATAACTATAAGCTGGAGAGCCGCTATATTATATTGAAGCCTCGATTAGAAAAAAAAATTTAAATATTTTTTTTCTTTATTTTTTTAATACTTTAATTAATGTGCAATAATTTAAAGCGAGTACATTAGAAAATTTTTAGCATAAACAAGTATCTGTAACTATTGTGCTCAGCGGTTGAAAAATGGTTAATTCTTTTATTTGATATAGCTTTGGGGTTTTTCCTTTAATGTCTACAATATTTGTTTGCTACTAATAATACATCTTTGTAAAGTATTATTTCTAATGTCAACGCATAAGCAAACATAAACTAAAATTGTTAATGTTTTTTTGTAAAAACATAGGTGTTGTTTACCTCTATGCAAATAGCAGCTATCACGCAACATATTTTATAGCTTATTTTGTATAATGCCTCCCTTTAGTAATACTGGCAGTACTTACCTCCCTTTATTTATGTTCAATCCGTGTGGCACTAATTAAGGACGAGCACGAAAGCAGAGCTAATTAATGTGATTGTGTCTAGACCTTGGTTTAACCAAGAAAGAGGGGGGGGGGATTAGTCTGAGTGGCCATATTGAAACATCTGCGTCATCTGTGAGAGACCTGGCCGGGTAGGAAATTGGTTACCTGGATGTCAATGTCAGGTAGATAAGTGTCACACAGCGCGATAGATATGACGTCAGTGACATTTTATAAATACCAGTAGCATAACAATTAAACCTGTAGTCAATTTTGTGTTTGTTGTCTTAAAATACGGAAGCGTTAAGTATCTAACCGTCTTTAATGAATAAGTTATGTTTATAATCAATGTGAATGTCAAGTAATGTTATTAAAATTACTGTAAGATTTTCGTCTTATTTATTTTTACTCGGATGATGATATGCGCCTAGAGGAGAAAAGTAAAAGCTAGAGGGAAACAATGGGGTAACGTCAAACGCAACTTGAGTTCTAGAAATTCTGTGGCCGTAAATTCGAGCCGTTTTTTTATTATCGAGAGGAAAAAATAATGCCAATTTCAAAACAAACAAAAAATCTAGGAAGAAATGGAACATTTGTGAATATGTGGTTTTTATTTAGGGGGTGTGTTCCTTGTTGCTTGATCAGCGTGGGGTTATTCCACTTGTGTACATTTTTAGCGCAATTTCCATTCTGGAGAATTGCGTTTATTAACTCGTCATTTCTGGGAATGTATGGATGGATGAATGTATGGATGTATGAATGTGTGTCCGGGCTTTAAGTCGTATCTCCTCCTCAACGAAGCAATATCGATGACTAGTTACAAAAGCAATTACGTTAAGCAAGTTACGAGGATGAACATAGGCCATAAAAATTCCGGGTTTCTTTCATGGATTTCCCGAAAAAGCCAAAAAACCTCGAAAAAATTCAGTTTTTGGCCCATATCTCGGCAACCAGACCACTTAGCGACTTGAAACATGTACCAATCGATTCCTGCCATAATTTAGAACAATATTGCCGAAGAAAGTTTTCAAACATATCCTTTCGTTCGGTCACAAAAATTTTTTTGAATTAATTAAAATTTGGACCGAATTAGTAGGCATGTTTTTCCAACCACACCACACGCGTCATCACGTTCAATAGCTGCGCCATCACGTTCAATGGCTGCGACATCACGTTCGGTAGCTAGGCGCGCAATGGTTTTTAGTCATGTTACTCTATTGTAAATAAAACATGTAAAATACTGAAACAAAATTAATAAAAAACGTTTTAATAACTAACCAATGGTTTTACTAACCCTGCTCTTGATTTACGCTACGACAGAGCTATTTTTAGATAACATAAGGAAATTGCGCTAAAATTGTCACTAGACTTTTTTTAATTACTTGTTTTGTTTACTGTGGGAGGCTGTTAGCCAGATGGGTATGGAGTCTAAAAGACACTGAGATATAATAACAACCATGGTTAATAATTATATGGAAAACCTCGATTAGAATATTTTTAGATCAATGAAGCCGACTTTGAGTTAATAAAAGTCATTTAGAAGGTAAATTATTTTATTTAATAAAACTTTGGGGTTTTCGTTTAATGTCTACACTATTTGTTTGCTACTAATAATACATCTTTGTAAAGTATTATTTCTACTGTCAACGCATGAACAAACATTAACTAAAATTGTTTATGTTTTTGTAAAAAAATAGGTGTTGTTTACATCTATGCAAATAGCAGCCATCATGCAACAAATTTTATATCTTATTTTATTTGATTACTTTCCTTTAGTAGTACCAGCAGTACTTACCTCCCTTTATTTAAGTTCAATCCGTGTGGCACTAATTAAGGACGAGCACGAAAGCAGAGCTAATTAATGTGATTGTGTCTAGACCTTGGTTTAACCAAGAAAGGGGGGGGGGGATTAGTCTGAGTGGCCATATTGAAACATCTGCGTCATCTGTGAGAGACCTGGCCAGGTAGGAAATTGGTTACCTGGATGTCAATGTCAGGTAGATAAGTGTCACACAGCGCGACAGATATGACGTCAGTGACATTTGTATAAATACCAGTAGCATAACAATTAAATCTGTAATCAATTATGTGTTTGTTGTCTTACAATACGGAAGCGTTAAGTATCTAACTGTCTTTAATGAACCAGTTATGTTTATAATCAATGTGAATGTCAAGTAATGTTATTAAAATTACTGTAAGATTTTCGTCTTAGTTTTTTTTTTACTCGGATGATGATATGCGCCTAGAGGAGTAAAGTAAAAGCTAGAGGGAAACAATGGGGTAACGTCAAACGCAACTTGAGTGCTAGAAATTCTGTGGCCGTAAATTCGAGCAATTTTTTTATTATTATCGAGAAGGAAAAAATAATGAAAATTTCAAAAAAAAAAAAAAATCGAGGAAGAAATGGACCATTTGTGAACATAAGGTTTTTATTTAGTGGGTGTGTTCCTTGTTGCCTGATCAGCGTGGGGTTATTTCTTGTGATTACATTATTTTGTTTACTGTGGGAGGTTGTTGGCCAGAACGATATGGAGTATAGGGCTTGTAAGTCTACGGTCTCGAAATCTACTAGCTGGCAAGAACTAGAGCGAGAAGTTGTGACCTACTTACAAGCCCTATAAGAGACAATGAGATATAATAACAACCACGTATAATAATTATATCGAATCACTGTTTAGAATTTTTTTTTTTTTTTTTTTAATGAAAAGTTTTCATTTAGAAAATATTTATTTTCTTTTTTTTTTTTTTTTTTTTTTGGCATTTAAAAAAAATTGTGTTTATGTTTATAGTACAACGGTTAGCAATGTACAGTAAAATTTTAAAACATAACATTGAATTACATGAGTACTTGAGTAGATAAGATGTAGAATAGATAATTAAATCATATACAGACTTTAAAATCTATCACAACCTCTACTTCTACTTCTAACTTCTAAATTTAGAAAATATTTTTTTTTTTTTTTTTTTTTTTTTTTTTTGTTCAAATAACTTTTTACTGACTGCAAAAAAACATTGATAACACATGTTATAAGTATATGTCTACAAATTATACTCCCATTTATCATAAAAGGTATGACATTTTTTTTATATAATGAAGACATTGATACAAATAAGTTTGTCTGGTTCAGGGTTCCTAATCAAAGAACATCTGAGAGTAAAAAACATTAGGAAAAAAAACTCAAGAATAATTTATTTCTTTACAAAATTTGTTTGTTATAAAATATAATGAATAGAAATTTATCATCTTTTAACTTAAGTTTTTAAACTGTTTTCTCAGTAGTTAACAATCATAATTTCTGAATATTCATATGACTAAAACAAAATTTACACTTAAAGTACTTAATTTGACACCACATTTATATTTTTTGGAGCACAAGTATCATTTAAATAATACTTTTAACTATTTTATTAAAACTAGTGTAAACTTAGGAATGCCAGAAAACAATTTTGAAAAAGGAAAACAGAGCATAAGGAATGTTATCTTGACTTTTATGATGAAAACATGTACCACACGACAAAATTTTGAATGTGTGAACTACAGTACTAGAATTCACTAAACATTGATGTATTAAATTTTGTTTACTCAAGGAACATTAAGAAAAACCTATCCTGAAATTCTTGAATCTCAAATAAAAGTATTCTAGCACAGATAAAAATCTAAAAAGTATACATTGTAGGATGCCATTTTCTTATTAAAATGTATTTCTTCTAATGAAAATAAACTGATAGTTCTATTACAGTGGCCAGTTTAAAAAGAAAAAACATTTTAAACATGTTTTTAAAACAATCTACTGTACATTCACTATTTGCATGAGATTCTGCATTATCACCACTCATAAAACCTCAAAAGCTGCAGTTCAGGATACTTTTAGGTAACTGTCATATACTCTACATACTCCGAAGCAGAATTATAAATTTAAAAAGAAAATTCAAAACAAGGCCACTCTATTACAAAATAACAGAAGATTTTTTTTTACAACGGTGGGGGAGGGAGGTGTTAATATTATCATGGTTTTTAAATATTTATTTACAAGTTCAAATAAGGTTAGAGCTGAGAGACAGAATCAATATAAACTTGTTTTTTTCATGATCCTCAAAAACTCTTCTTGGTTGATCTCACCATCACCATCTCTGTCTGCCTCATCAATCATTTCCTGAAGCTCTTCGTCTGTCATGTTTTCTCCTAATTCCTTTGCCACCCTCTTGAGATTGCGGAAAGAAATTTTACCAGTTTCATCATCATCAAATAAACGGAATGCCTTCATAATTTCTTCCCTTGAGTCTTTCTCACACATTTTGTGGGTCATTAATGTCAAAAAGTCATTAAAGTCTATTGTACCTGTACATTCTTTATCTATTTCTGCTATTAACTTTTTGATTTCTTCTTTTTTGGGCTCAAAGCCTAAAGCCCTCATGGCAACCTTAAGTTCTTTTGCATCAATTGTTCCTGAGCCATCTGCATCAAAGAGATCAAATGCTTCTCTGATCTCTTGCTTTTGTTCCTCTGTTAGTTCAGGCTTTGGGCCTGTTTTTTTGCGGCCACCGCCAGCTAAGGTGGTTTTCTTGAAATTGGACATGGCAGAGTATTTCTGATTTTGGACGTGCTGCCACCTGCCTGTTTGTTGATCTTCGAAACGCATTGACTCGTCACTAGACTTTTTTTAATTACTTGTTTTGTTTACTGTGGGAGGCTGTTAGCCAGATGGGTATGGAGTCTAAAAGACACTGAGATATAATAACAACCATGGTTAATAATTATATGGAAAACCTCGATTAGAATATTTTTAGATCAATGAAGCCGACTTTGAGTATATTTAGAGTAAAGAAACCGATTCCGACGAGCTGTGAATAGTAAAGAAGGTAAATTCTTTAATTTAATAAAGCTTTGGGGTTTTTCCATTAATGTCTACACTATTTGTTTGCTACTAAAAATACATCTTTGTGAAGTAGTATTTCTACTGTCAACGCATAAACGAACATTAACTAAAATTGTTTGTTTTTTATAAAAAAAAAAAAATAGGTGTTGCAAATAGCAGCAAATAGCAGCCATCATGCAACACATTTTACAGCTTAGTTTATGATGACCTCCCTTTAGTGATACTCTCAGTACTTACCTCCCTTTATTTATGTTCAATCCGTGTGACACTAATTAAAGATATGCACGAAAGCAGAGCTAATTAATGTGATTGTGTTTATACCTTGGTTTAACCAAGAAGGGGGGGGGTATTTAGTCTGAGTGGCCATATTAATACACGTGCGTCATCTGTGAGAGACCTGGCCAGGTAGGAAATTGGTTACCTGGATGTCAATGTCAGGTAGATAAGTGTCACACAGCGCGAGAGATATGACGTCAGTGACATTTTTATAAATACCAGTAGCATAATATTTTAACCTGTAGCCAATTTTGTGCTTTTTGTTTTAAAATACGGAAGCGTTAAGTATCTTACTGTCTTTAATGAACCAGTTATGTTTATAATAAATGTGAATGTCGAGTAATGTTATTAAAATTACTGTAAGATTTTCGTCTTATTTTTTTTTTACTCGGATGATGATATGCGCCTAGAGGAGAAAAGTAAAAGCTAGAGGGAAACAATGGGGTAACGTCAAACGCAACTTGAGTTCTAGAAATTCTGTGGCCGTAAATTCGAGCCGGTTTTTTTTTTAATTATTGAGAGGAAAAAAAAAAAGAAAATTTCCAAAAAAAAATCGAGGAAGAAATGGACCATTTGTGAACATATGGTTTTTAGTTAGGGGGTGTGTTCCTTGTTGCCTGATCGGTGTGGGGTTATTTCACGTGATTACATTATTTTGTTTACTGTGGGAGGTTGTTGGCCAGAAGGATATGGAGTATAGGGCTTGTAAGTCTACGGTCTCGAAATCTACTACCTGGCAAGAACTAGAGCGGGAAGTTGTGACCTACATACAAGCCCTATAAGAGACAATGAGATATAATAACAACCACATATAATAATTATATCGAAACACTGTTTAGAAAATATTTTTTTTTTTTTAAATTTTATTTTTTTTTAAATGAAAAGTTTTCATTTAGAAATTTTTTTTTTCTTTTTTATTTAGAAAATATTTTTTTTTTTTTGTATGTATATTTATTGAATAAAAACAATTTCTGCAAACAGGTGTTATTGGTCCATGTCTTCTTCCCCAGAGCTTTCAATTTCAAAAGGTTCCATTTTATCCTAATTTTCCTCTGGTTCTGGACCTAGTTCTTTCAATAGTTCATCCATATGTCCAAGTAATGCAGCGTTATCATATTTTATTTTAGCATAAACCTCTTTGCCTTTTTCCAAATAGTGTCTAGCATTACTGTAATATTCTGTTCCTTGCAGATAATTAGCCCATCCTATCAGGTACCACACATCTGGTACTTCATCATCTTCATCAAGCAATGTTTCTAGGACATCTGTAGCCAACTTATACTCTTCAACTTCAATAAGAATTTTACCACATTGTAGCCTTGTACTGAAGGATAGAGGACACAGTTCAACAGGATCAAAATCTTCATCATTTACAGCATCAGTATCTGCTTTCAAAAATTTAGGAAGCCACAGGGATACACTTTTCTTCATAACTTCTTTTGCTTCTTCTTTTTCATCCTTTGACAAAAGATAATTTGCTTTGAGCTGGAGAGCTTCTGGGCTATCTGGATCAGAGGCCAAAGCTTTTTCAACAAATTCTTTACATTTTTCTTCTGCAGAATCATCAAAACAACAATCCGTAAGGTAAATTTCTGCTATTGCACAATAAGCACTTGCGATATCTTTGTCACTTGCCGGTCTGGTATCAGCACAAACAGCTGCAGCCTCTTGAGCAGCTTTCTTATCTTTTTCTTGGATCATAATTTCAATTCCTTTTTTATAGCAATCAACTGCATTAGATCCCTCCATCAGTTGACCCATGGTCATGTACTTTGAAAACCCGGTGTTAGGAGAAAGTTCTATTGCTCGACCAAGACAATGTTTTGCTGCTTCCAGATTTCCAAGTTCAATGAGCAAAGAAGCAGAAGTTTCTAATGCCCTAAGATTGTCAGGTTCTTGCTCTAATGCACGTTGACAAAATTTCTGAGCTAGTTCATAGTTGAATTCATCAATTAGCTGTTCTGCCTTAGTAATTAATTTGTCTACTTTTTGGTTTGTCTTTGGCTCTCATCTTGAACAGCTTTAGAATTCTTTTTGATATTTTTTGGTTTCTTACTTTGTTTACTCTTAATTATTTTCCTTCCCATTATGCCAGTCGAAGCAGATAGTCGGTCTTTATTTGCGTTTTCTCTTTGATGATCATAGTCAACTTCTAAGTACAGCTTCTCAAAACCATGTTGTCTTTAGAAAATATTTAGAGTAAAGAAACGGAGTCCGACCAGCTGTCAATTAATATAGAGAGTAAATTCTTTAATTTAATAAAGCTTTGGGGTTTTTCCTTTAATGTCTACACTATTTGTTTGCTACTAAAAATACATATTTGTGAAGTAGTATTTCTACTGTCAAAGCATAAACAAACATTAACTAAAATTGTTAATTTTGTTTTTGTAAAAAAAAATAGGTGTTGTTTACCTCTACGCAAATAGCAGCCATCATGCAACACATTTTACAGCTTATTTTATGATGACCTCCCTTCAGTGATACTCTCAGTACTTACCTCCCTTTATTTATGTTCAATCCGTGTGACACTAATTAAAGATATGCACGAAAGCAGAGCTAATTAATGTGATTGTGTTTATACCTTGGTTTAACCAAGAAAGAGGGGGGGGGATTAGTCTGAGTGGCCATATTGAAACATCTGCGTCATCTGTGAGAGACCTGGCCAGGTAGGAAATTGGTTAGCTGGATGTCAATGTCAGGTAGATAAGTGTCACAAAGCGCGAGAGATATGACGTCAGTGACATTTTATAAATACCAGTAGCATAATATTTTAACCTGTAGTTAAATTTGTGTTTGTTGTTTTAAAATACGGAAGCGTTAAGTATCGAACTGTCTTTAATGAACCAGTTATGTTTATAATCAATGTGAATGTCGAGCAATGTTATTAAAATTATTGTAAGATTTTCGTCTTAATTTTTTTTTCACTCGGATGATGATATGCGCCTAGAGGAGTAAAGTAAAAGCTAGAGGGAAACAATGGGGCACCGACAAACGCAACTTGAGTTCTAGAAATTCTGTGGCCGTAAATTAGAGCCGTTTTGTTTTATCGAGAGGAAAAAATAATGCCAATTTCATAACAAAAAAAAATCGAGGAAGAAATGGACCATTTGTGAACATGTGTTTTTATTTAGGGGGTGTGTTCCTTGTTGCCTGATCAGCGTGGGGTTATTCCACGTGTCTACATTTTTTTGTTTACTGTGGGAGGCTTTTAGCCAAATGGGTATTGAGTCTAAGAGACACTGAGATATAATTACAACATCGGTTAATAATTTTTTTTTTTTTTTAATGCTTTTATTTGCAATTAAAACAAGTACATCAACATCACATTTTTTACATAGTTTCAAATGAAAACGAAAGGTTTTGAACATGTACATAATGAATATTTACATGATGTCATGTATATGATTATAAAAAAAATTGCAAAGGATGACAGTAAAAGGGGTGAAGGTCAAATAAAAGTGTCAGAAGTCTGTGTGGGGAGTGGAAAGGATATTTTTCAGAGAGGGTCAATGGGACAGTGGAGCATTTTCTATGTAGGGAAACAAATTAAGTTGACTAGTTAAAAGAGTGTTTTTTTTATGTACTGGTCGCATTGAGTTTTCAAAAGGTTGCTGTGTAAAAAATGAGGGGAAAGAAACAAGATTTAGAACTTTAAAAAAGTAAATGAATAGATATTCGAAATTGATGTTGGGGTGGGTGGTGGGGTCGGTGGAACAGTTAAAGGGAAAGTGGGGTTTTCGTGTCTGAGGGTAAGTGGATAGAGGGGGAGAGGGGGGAGAGGGTAGATGTGTCTGACGAGGCGTGGAGAGGGTTAATAATTATATGGAATACCTCGATTAGAACATTTTTAGATTACAAAAATCATCGTTGTGACACAGGACCAATTTAGAAGGTAAATTATTTTATTTAATACAGCTTTGGGGTTTTTACTTTAATGTCTACACTATTTGTTTGCTGCTAAAAATATATCTTTGTAAAGTATTATTTCTACTGTCAACGCATGAAAAAACATTGATTAAATTGTTCATGTTTTTTTAGTAAACCATAGATGTTGTTTACTTCTATGCAAATAGCAGCCATCATGCAACACATTTTATAGCTTACCTTATATGATTACCCCCCTTTCGTAATACTGTCAGTACTTACCTCCCTTTGTTTATGTTCAATCCGTGTGGCACTATTTAAGGACGAGCACGAAAGCAGAGCTAATTAATGTGATTGTGTCTAGACCTTGGTGAAACCAAGAAAGAGGGGGGAGATTAGTCTGAGTGGCCATATGGAAACATCTGCGTCATCTGTGACAGACCTGGCCAGGTAGGAAATTGGTTACCTGGATGTCAATGTCAGGTAGATAAGTGTCACACAGCGCGAGAGATATGACGTCAGTGACATTTTATAAATACCACCAGCATTTAACCGTCTTTAATGAACCAGTAATGTTTATAATCAATGTGAATGTTGAGTTATGTTATTAAAAAAAGTCGTAA